TTTCCCAGTCCGTAGGGACCGTCGCAACGTCTCGAAAATTGAAAAATAGGCATATTTTGTAACGTTGTAAAATATTTGATTCGCATAGTTAAGCCACAGAATTTATATCAGATTGCTTAAAAACCTTTCTAGTTTGCCAAGAAAGTTAGAATTTGCCCTCTCAACATATTTGAAAAGGCGAATTTTAGCATATTCTGACCACTAGAAATCGCCATCGGCCGATGGCCGTAAATAACCTTGATTTAGACGCTAAGTTTTGGGATTTGAGACCTGGTTGACGATTCTATCCTACATAGCCGTTAAGTTTAGACCTTTATAGGCAAAAATATGCAAAAACCCCTGTACGTTTTCGATTTTTCAAAAGTTATGACCGTTTGAATCAGCACATGTACGAGCATTCACGATTTTTTCGCCTAGACCAAATACACCACATCGAACCACTGGAGCAGATTTCGTCATAAATACAGCTTACCCGCTTTGCAGCCCGGCTTCATGGCTCACTTCAGAATTTTTCTAATAACCAAATTGGTGAAATCCATGATAACTTCAACAAATAGCTAGGTATTGCCTTCGAAAAGTAGGCGGCATCCATCGTGATTCGTGGTATCAAAACAAATGCCGGAATTGGCCACATTTCGCGGTGAATCACCCATTTAACATCGCTGCAGAGCTGAATTTTTTCCAAAATCAGAATATAAACTCTCCATGTCTGGAAGCTGAGGGAGAAATGAAGGTTTTAGGCTTCTGAAGTGAAGAAATAATCGCTTAAATTTAGATCCAGTTCGATGTTATACTGTTCTCACAAAGGTCCGCACAAAAGAGAAGACCGCTGATAGCTTGTGCCGTACGTTGTGCCATATGGTTTTGTTTTGTATCCCAAAGTAATATTTGGGCAGAAAAATTTTGGATGAAAAGAATAAATGCTTTTACCTGGAGTTTGATATCATATAATTAATAAATCAATTTCAAATATCCTGAGCTTGCTTCTCTCGGTTCCGCGTCGATTGTGTCCACAGAACAGCAACCTGTCAATAGCCGGAGAAATCATGGGTTTATGTGAAATTTCAGATATTCCTCGCTTCCCAAACTGGTGAACTGGACTTTATGATAACTCCAGCAAATACCTCCAAAATTCAGCGGTCGGCATCTGTCGATACTCTTCTTTGACTCGTTGTTGCGAACTAAACTCGAAAACTAAAGCCATGTTTCGCGCTTAATGTCCCGTTGAAACTTTGGATTGCAGCTGCATTCTCTTCAAGAATCAGTCATAGAACTCCACTTGTAAGTCTATGTGTCGAAGTTTGGCGTTTTGGAATTTAAAGCTGAACGATTGCACTATCGCGCATAACAGAGGTCCGCATTAATCATTGCGGGTGATCCAGCTAACCCTTTATTTTTTTTGGAAGGCCTGCAAGTGTAGTATGGCATGCAAGTGCTTTTTCGAAACCAGAGAGGCTTCAGTCTGTAGCGAGTCTTCAGGGAGGTTGTTAAAGCTTTCATTGGACAGAGGATACGCATTGACGAAACACCCAGGGAAGGGAACAACAGCTGCAGTAAGAATAGTAGACGAATCAAAGAACACTCTCTGTATAAATAAGATTGAGCATTTTAGTAGCTTCCACAACTTCGATTCGAATATGGAGATATCGGTCTGAGAGTTTGGAAATGTTATGGCATCGGTAAAGGGAAGTACATTCCATATGACGTAATTTATATCAAGCACCAAGGTCAAACGTCCCTTCAAACCATAGAATCTCAAGGGTTTTATGATCCTCCTGAAAAGCGTGTGGTCAAGCGTCGTTCAAAGGGCAGCAAGGAAACAGAGAGTACAACGCCATTGTTTGAATGCTCTGTGTTTGGATGTGTTGAAGTGTTCGAAACCTTTTCGCAGCTGGAGCTGCACCTGGACGTTGGAAAGCATACAGTCAGCAGGTTAAAGCCAGTATGATGCAATCAAAAGGGACTGGGCCCTTAAGTTCTCGTCGATAGATACCGCTGGTATCGAGTGTTCGAGCTGTTCGTTAGATTCTAGTACACCACTCACTTCTCCCGTGGATACTTCGCCCCACTCGTCTTTACGAACAGGATGGGCCGTAAGCAAACCAAGGGGCAGCGTTAGATTTTCAGAGAAGGTAAAAGAATACCTAACGGCACGGTTTAAACTTGGAGAAAGAACTGGGCGAAAGGCCGACCCCGCCAAAGTTGCAGTGGACATGTGAAATGCGAAAAATGAATCAAATGCACGTTTGTTCACTATAGAACAGTGGCTGACAAATAATCAAGTTCAGAGCTTTTTCTCCCGGCTAGCAGCAATGCAGCGAAAAGATCAGGGTGTGATCGGGATATCACTGGATGAGGAGGAAGATATCCAATGCGTCCAGGAAAATTCCGAGAGATAAGATCTGGTAGACAAAGTTAACAAAGAGATCAAAGTCTCACATCCAATCTGCTACGATACGTAGGACCTCTGTGAACGTTACCACAATAACACACTTCAGAAATTCAATGTGGTTTTGTTGAGAGCCATCTGTAGTCATTTTGAGATCCCTGTAAAATTGAGAGACAAAAAACAGATCCTCATAGACAAACTGTCGGACGTGATTAGTGGTTGTCAGTGTGTTTCTCAGTAGACTTATGTAAACAATGTCTTATACGATGGCTGAAAGTGTAGAATATGCTCTACAGATACAAACTACCTTTACTTCCGATATCAAGTTCTGACGGCGTTGTTATAGTGTAATATATTATAATATCTAGTAGTCAGTGAAATGTTTTGATGAAATCGATTGAAAATTTACCAACAGCAACACTTATAACATCTGTTCATACGAAGCATGTGTCAAGTTTTTAACAAGTTGGCAGCCGATTTCTCCGGCTACTGACAGGTTGCTGTTCTGTGGACACAATCGACGCGGAACCGAGAGAAGCAAGCTCAGGATATTTGAAATTGATTTATTAATTATATGATATCAAACTCCAGGTAAAAGCATTTATTCTTTTCATCCAAAATTTTTCTGCCCAAATATTACTTTGGGATACAAAACAAAACCATATGGCACAACGTACGGCACAAGCTATCAGCGGTCTTCTCTTTTGTGCGGACCTTTGTGAGAACAGTATAACATCGAACTGGGTCTAAATTTAAGCGATTATTTCTTCACTTCAGAAGCTTAAAACCTTCATTTCTCCCTCAGCTTCCAGACATGGAGAGTTTATATTCTGATTTTGGAAAAAATTCAGCTCTGCAGCGATGTTAAATGGGTGATTCACCGCGAAATGTGGCCAATTCCGGCATTTGTTTTGATACCACGAATCACGATGGATGCCGCCTACTTTTCGAAGGCAATACCTAGCTATTTGTTGAAGTTATCATGGATTTCACCAATTTGGTTATTAGAAAAATTCTGAAGTGAGCCATGAAGCCGGGCTGCAAAGCGGGTAAGCTGTATTTATGACGAAATCTGCTCCAGTGGTTCGATGTGGTGTATTTGGTCTAAGCGAAAAAATCGCGAATGCTCGTACATGTGCTGATTCAAACGGTCATAACTTTTGAAAAATCGAAAACGTACAGGGGTTTTTGCATATTTTTGCCTATAAAGGTCTAAACTTAACGGCTGTGTAGGATAGAATCGTCAACCAGGTCCCAAATCCCAAAACTTAGCGTCTAAATCAAGGTTATTTACGGCCATCGGCCGATGGCGATTTCTAGTGGTCAGAATATGCTAAAATTCGCCTTTTCAAATATGTTGAGAGGGCAAATTCTAACTTTCTTGGCAAACTAGAAAGGTTTTTAAGCAATCTGATATAAATTCTGTGGCTTAACTATGCGAATCAAATATTTTACAACGTTACAAAATATGCCTATTTTTCAATTTTCGAGACGTTGCGACGGTCCCTACGGACTGGGAAATAATTATGGCCCGTAATGCAGTCAGAGAATTATTTCGAATCAAACAAAATCTAATTTAGTTCTTTCCTAGGTAAAGTCTTTCTGTTAACAGAGTTTCAGGCAAAATTATTTTTGACGCAAAATTGACCGGGTGGAAATTAGAGAGACAGCCTCTTAATAACCTATGCGGCGACGAACAGAAACGAAACGCAGAAGATTGGCTCGGACTAACCAGAGGTTAGAAATCCGTCACTCATTTCCATGTACCAGGGATCTGCGGCAAATGGACTTCGGACCTGCTTTGTCAATTGGTTGTGAAACTCCTAGACATTACTAAGGGGGCATAGGGTGCAAAGCTGAGCCAGGCTAGTCCGGCAGTCCAAAAGTTTCTGTTTCTTCACTACTACGACGATACGTTCTCTGCCGGGACGGTAGAATTTCCCTGTAATTTGCTGTGTGATCGAATGTGAAGTGATTAACTGAACGGAAATATAAGGGAACGGAACTCAGAAAATTCGCTTGGTCTGATGGGAGGGCAGCTCCTCTTTACAAATCTCCATATACCAGAGATTACGGTCATTGAACTTCGGACTTAATTTTCTCGTCTTTAATGCTTCTACTACTTACGAAGAATGAAACACAAATCAATGGAAATTATCAAGTTAAAGCTATTTAGAGAATTTTGGTTACAATTCTCTTATGAAAATATAAGCCAAATTTTCAGCCGTTTTTTAGTATTATAACTGTTAAGCGAACAATAAATTAGGGGACTTGCTCTCACTTTAATTAATGCTTCGCAATCCTCTCGAATACAAGTCAATATAAATTTTCAATGCAAATGGCGCATGTAGAATCCTGGTTGCAGTTTTCAACTGCTAATCGAAGTTGTAGTCCAAAGGCTCCTATATGATTAAACTCATAAAAACTTTTAGATACGTCTACACTTAATTGTTGCTTCGTCGGTATAATTTGTATTAAAAGCCATCAAAAAAATTCAGTTCAATTTAATGCCGGGTGTCATCATAAATACGTATTTACTTGCTGAGGTAGGTTTAGCGGGGGTTTAAGTTCAAATTGTTTCCTTTTCGTTCACTCTTGCACAGACATCACCTTATGCCTTCGTTTTTACTTTCATCACGGTACGTTTTAGTGAGTAATAAAACCCCCTAAAGGTGTACCAATTGACTCCATCAGCAAAAGTGGCATGGGAACCATTGAGGTATAATCCGTTCAGATTGGACCTATGGCAACGTCTGTACCACCAGGCTCCCTTAAAAGATTGGGCGCAGCTGGGTAGGTCATTACGATAATCATTGTCCTGATCTTTTGTAGAAAACTGCATATTGCTGAAATGAAAAAAGTTCGTTTAAGCTTGTTTCTAACATACTTGAATATGTATTTAAACACCACTTAACATTTTTGTGCGAATGGAACATCCGGCTTCAGGTTTGAAATCCAATCAAAGCCTGGTAAGATTTTCAGTTTCGTTCGGTGTCAGTATAATAATGAAGTACCATTAATCACAACGTGCTTCCCCTCAGCCGGTAATGGATCATCTCCGTTCTTTGAATGCACTTTAATTGAGTCACCAGCCTTTCTTATGACATCCACTCTTTGGGGATCATGCTTTTCAATATCAAATTCATAATAAACCTAGTAATTGAGGTAATTTTGGTTTTATCAACGGATTTGTTAATGTAAATTGGCCACCGTAAATATTTACAAAGGTGACGTTCGCCCTTCGTCAGTGGAAACTGGTAATTGAGGGTTTCTTACAGCAATGGATGTAGCATTGCAGTACTAGAGTCACCAGCCCTTCCATTGTATCCTCCAATCGAAAGCCATAGGGTTAGGGTCAGCTAGTATTCGAAAGCGAACACCGAATTTAGATAATATTCTTTTTGCACTTTGTGATTCCGATTTCATTTACCTTAGGGAATGTCTCTCAGCCATAGAGTCACCAGCAGTACCATTGTATCCTCTAATCAAAAGCCGGTACTGGTCGGCCTCGTCTGCCACCTTAAAAGTCGTGTACTCAGCGTAAGTGATGTTCCCTTCAAAGTCTTGCAAGTCAACTCTCAGCATGACGTCATCAGAGTCTGTCAAACGGTGTATATTGTCGTTTCCAAGCCAGAACTCACCATTCAGATTTCCAAAGCCGTTTTTGTAGGATTCCCATCCACGATAGAAGTCAACGGAGCCGTCTAAACGTCTCTGAAAAACGGCCCAACCTCCATTGTCCGTATTCATATCACACAATACTTGTATTGGTTTACCGCCATCTGGATTGATGGTGTACACACCACTGGAATTGAGACCATCTTGAAACAACTGAGAGCAACTTCTCGCTTCTGTTGAGAAGAAAATGAGGAGGATTATAAAATAGTTCTTAGAGGTAATCAAACAGTAAGACATCTAAACTTACTGCAGGGTTTTCCCGTATAGCCATTGTCACATTTGCATCGTACGCTGCCATCTTTATAGTTCGGAATACAGGTTCCTTTCTCGCCACACTGAAAACTGTCCTCCTCACAAGCACTCTGTAAAGAAAAATTCCATTTACATGAATTATTCTATATTTCAAATAAAAAGGGTTTTTAAAGAATATGTGTTTCTCAAGTGCTTCTTAAACTTTCTTCGAGTGATTTTTTAAAGAAGAGATTTAAGGAATCGAAATTTTTCGTCGATGAGACGTTTCAAATGGTTTAAGCCGGGTAAAAGAACGCAAAAACGTTCTCGGGCAAGATTGATGTTAAAAATAAGACTAAGGTATGTTATTTAACGCATCAATTGTGTCATCGATCATGGACAACAACATGGAACTTTCTATTGGGACTTCCGCATAGTCCTTATGCAGAGATACATTAAAACACAGATTCTGAGTAACTTTCGTGAGTGGTAGGGCAGAGAAATAAAAGCATGAATACTCTAAGGACAGATGAATACCGATATTTATCCAGACGGTTAAGGGTGACATTGTTTAGTTTGAATAAATTTAGCGACGGGCGCCGTGTTATATCCCAAAAGCCTCAAACATTCTCTAAGATATCTTGGACCATATTTGTGGTCAAAACTTGGACATAGCGACAGGCAATTTAGTAACTCTGGCATCATTCGCCTCAAACATCCGCAGAAAAGACCTCGCGAACCTAGTTTCAAACTACGTCTGTACAGGGAATTGTCCGAAATGTGTTTAGAATTTTAGACATAATTAAAGTTTGTATATAGTTGTATAGGTAGAAATTATTATATTTTAGTCCGTATTTCAAAATATAAATGGAATTCTAGATATGTATATATATATATATATATATATATATATATATATATTGTAACAAGTGATAGCTTATTTTAACTTAACTTAACTTAACTTATTTGTAATTTTATAGGGAGTATCCCCGATTAGTCGGCCTTCGGGCTGACTAGAAGTTTTAGACACTAAATAAAGTTGATTGATTGATTGATAGTGTGTTATCGCCGGCATTAGTCTAAGATCTTTAATTGCATAGTTTGTTCACATCGCTTCTGGCAATTTTGGAACAGATGGATATCGATATTTAAATATTTTTTCAAAATATTCAGCAAAGGTGTCGCATTATTTTCATAGCCCATAGGCTGCCTGTAGTGTGTTTCAAGGATCTTCAATTACATGGTTTGTTTACATCGTGTCTTGCACCGCACAACATTTCGCAAAACGTTTGAGAAATAAGAATCTTCCTCAAAGGGTCAAAATAGTCACCCTGGATAGAACCTTCAAGAAGGCCCGGTCCAAAATAACTTTTCCTTTCTTTAGCTTGCTTTGCCCACTTTTCCTTACTTTTGTTTTTCCCAATAAACTATTGGACCTCGTTTTATCAAACATAAATTTTTCAACCCCGCTCAGGTTGCGAAACGACCTTTCTGCGATTCTAATAGGGCTGACAGTAAATTTAGAAGATATTCTGAATAAATTCACCTACAATTTACGATAATAAGAGTCTTTCACCCAGTCAATGGCCATTGCTGTAACATTACGAAAAAGTACCTCAAATACCTTTATTCCTCTGTAAATAAAATCGTTATCTTCAGTAAAGTTAGCAAATCCAGCAAATCGATCAGAGCCGCTTAGTTGACACTTGAGTTTCTTTGAATCGGTCATTATGGTTCCAAAGTTGTAAGACTGACATCGCTCTTTACCTAAACACTCTAACTGACAGGAACTTTCCGAATCCACCTCTACCTCTCTTAGGAGGCTTCCAGTCAGCTTTTTCCCCTTTATCTTGTCAGCGAAGTTAACAGCCTTCAAATCTGGCTCTGAGATACGGTTTATGCCGTACACAACGGCACAAAGAAAAAATATTAAACAGAGATGCATGTGTAGTCTTTACCGTCAGAAAGCTTGTGATGAGGAAAAAATAAGGTTTGCCTAATTTCTACGGCTTAACTGGGCTGGCAGGTGCAAAGGAAATTTCCAAAATTAAAACAGTAAGTTAATGAGACGTAGAAAATTATGAAGACACGTCGGCAACTATAGTGGAGAAAGGATAAATCGAGAAGAAGAGACGAACGTATTGCGTGGCCGGAGTGCCAAATGATGTTAGCTACAATGATGTTACGGCCATTGGACTTCTCGTCCTTATGCTTCCGCTACAAGCTGCAGGGAGAATCTTAGCAAATCCGTAATGACAGTATAAGCTATATTTTAAGCCTTTTTTGTCATTCTAACGGTTACGCGAACAGTAAGTAAAAAAAAATATTAAACAGAGACGCTTGTGTAGTCTTTACCGTCAGAAAGCCTATGATGAAGAAAAATAAACGTATACCTAATTTCTATCGCTTAACTAGGCTGGCAGGTGCAAAGGAAATTTCCGAAATTAAATGTTAATGAGACTCTATCGTTTATTAAGTGGGGGGCTACCTGACTTGGCGGCCAAAAAGTGTCTACATTAAAGGCCAGAACGATCACGTTAAAAAGTTGTGCCATAGTAGCCTTTTTATCATTCTAACGGTTCCGCGAACAATAAATAAAAAAAAAAGAAAATTAAACAGAGATGCCTGTGTAGTCTTTACCGTCAGAAAGCTTATGATGAAGAAAAATAAATGTTTACCTAATTTCGATCGCTTAATTAGGATGGCAAAGGAAATTTCCAAAATTAAAACAGGGAGTTAATGAGACTCTATCGTTTGTTAAGTGGGGTGCTACCTGACTTGGCGGCCAAAAAGTGTCCACATTAAGCGGCCAGAACGATCACGTTACAAAGTTGTGCCATAGTAGCCTTTTTAACTCGTGAATTGCGCGCATGCGCAAGAGCGAGTTATAGATACGATGTGGGGAATGCCATTCGCTCGCTCGCTCGATTGGTCGATTCCTGTAAACTTTTTTAGGCCTTTGAGTGCATTTGATAGTTTTTGGCGAGCAATAAACAGATGAAATGGCGACCTTTGTTGCTAAGAATAGTGGTGGGGTGAAAAAGAAGCCAATGATAATCTTAAAAGAGTTTTTTTTTTCGTTTTAGTTTCAACAAGCGGCGCCAGCGACTGGCAGGCATGCAAGGATTCACACTGAAATAACAGAACAACCTTCGTTTTTCATAAAATTGTAATTTACAATCCTTGAACTTGAAAACAATCCGAAGATTCATTGAAAATATCACTTACTGCGAAGCGCTCGGAGTTTACAGATGTTCAAAAGCTTTTTCTGTTATGGCGTGAGATTGAGGACAAAATTGATCATTACGTTTCGTCGCGTGTGTTTTTCCTGTGTGAAGCAACAAAAGATGCCGGCGACTGACGAAATAACAAGTGAACACGAAAATCAAATAAGACCTAAACAAACAATTTTAGCTACCGATTTTCAGTGAATTTTTAAAGAACAATTTTCTTTTAAGTTTCAAGACAATTTGAAGATTCAACATACATACAACGTACTAAAATGCGAAAGTTACACACCACAAAATTGATAAATAGGCCTGAAATGAAATTCTATCTTGTTATTGATTATACGTTGCCTAGCACGTGACTTAAATCTACCCATGCGGAGATCCAAAATGACGGTGGCAGGCTTGGCTTAGTTATATCACTCAAAACTCGTTCTCGTTTGTCTCATTTGATAAAAAGGGAATCGTTGATGTTTTCATTAAGACAGTATTGCCTTGGTTTTCTAATATTTACAACGAAAGACAGTAAATTTCACTTGTCACCCACATTTACTTCCAACCTTTTCTTTTGAACCAGAAACAAAAATGATAGACGTTTAAAACACATGACATCATCCACCTTGTCAAATGTAATAGCATGATCATTTCAATTGTAATGCCTTCTTATTCCAACGTTACTTTGTTTCTTTGCTACATTAGCGAACACTGTACTACTGCTCGTACTCTAGATATGACAATCAACCACAAAATTCCCTAAACCAGATAACATTAAACATAGTCTAAAAAATCATGTGTCATTTCACGAGTTTGCTCACAGAGCACTTTGATTATCATTCTAACGGTTACGCGAACAATAAATAAAAAAAAAGAAAATTAAACAGAGATGCCTGTGTAGTCTTTACCGTCAGAAAGCTTATGATGAAGAAAAATAAACGTTTACCTAATTTCGATCGCTTAATTAGGATGGCAAAGGAAATTTCCAAAATTAAAACAGGAAGTTAATGAGACTCTATCGTTTGTTAAGTGGGGTGCTACCTGACTTGGTGGCCAAAAAGTGTCTACATTAAACGCGCAGTCAGAACGATCATGTTACAAAGTTGTGACGTAGAAAATTGTGAAGACACGTCGCCAATAATGGCGGAGAAAGGATAAATCGAGAAGAAGAGACGAACGTATTGCGTGGCCGGAGCGCCAAATGATGTTAGCTACAATGATGTTACGGCCATTGGACTTCTCGTCCTTATGTTTCCACTACAAACTGCAGGGAGAATCCTAGCAAATCCTTAATGACAGTATAAGCTACATTTTTAGCCTTTTTATTATTCTAACGGTTACGCGAACAGTAAATAAAGAAAAATATATTAAACAGAGATGCATGTGTAGTCTTTACCGTCAGAAAGCTTATAATGAAGAAAAGTAAACGTTTACCTAAGATCTTTAATCCAAGATCTTCAATTGCATAGCTTGTTCGCATCGCTTCTGGCACTCTTAGGACAGATGAGTATCGATATTTAAATATTTTTTTCAAAAGATTTAGCAAAGCTGTCACATTATTTTCATAGCCCATAGGTCTCCTGTGGTGTGTTTTCGCCCGCTTTCGGCAAGGATCTTCAATTGCATGGTTTGGTTACATCGCGTCTTGCACCGCGCAACATTTCGCAAAAGGTTTGAGAAATGAGAATCTTCATCAGAGGGTCAAAATAGTCACCCTGGATAGAACCTTCAAGAAGGCCCGGTCCAAAATAATTTAAGATAAAGTTTTCCTTTCTTTAGCTTTTTTTGCCCACTTTTCATTTCTTTTGTTTTTTTTGCAATTTGGAATAAATAAGCGCTTGTAAATTTTTTCAAAGACCACAAATTGCACCCGCCTTACGGGCTTGTGCAATTTTGTTAGTCTTTGAAAAAAT